CCCCCCCCCAGCACTAGACTGTTAATCAGGGAGAGTACAAAGATAAATGCCAATCTGCATTAATGTTTATTACCTCACATTTTTAACAAATACTTCCGGGCACTGCTAATGGCGGCAGTATCTCTTTAGACTAAGTTTCAAAACTCCACTTATGGCCAGGAAGCAACTGGTCGTGTGTAACCGTCTGTGTTAACAATGGCTTTATGGCCACCACAGGCGTCCTGAGAGTGACTTTATAGGACACATGCACAGTATCCTACTCCTCTGGGCATTTGAAATCCACTTTCCCCATTGAACACAAGACGCCCCCAGATGGATCCCGTATCCCATAGCAGCGTGTGTAGTGGTTGTCTCAATAGAAGATAAGGATATGGACACAGTTGTATTTTGTGACTGTTGTGTCACACTACCCTAGGCTTTGATGTGCAAATAGTGCTTTTCTCTCTGTTACCCAGTAGTGTATAGTTCTGACTTTTTGTGTGTCATTGAACATAGAAGATTCCAGTGTGCAGTTTACCCACATCCTTCCCAGGGAGTTATGGGGTGTTAGGTACTTTTCTGTATCCTGAAACCTTTTTCTGACATGCAGGACCTGCGAGGAGCAGCACTGCTGTTGGGCAAGGGTCTCCGAACGGTCATGCTGGAACATTGCTTTCAGTCATTTTCATGACAGACATTATCTGTGTGACTTTCCCTCTTCACTTCTCCAAGGCTCTGAAAACTCAGGTACCAGTCTGCTGTAAATACTGCATTTCTATTGAGGGCATGATTATACTTAGCATGTGTGTAGCTCTTTTCATCCACGTTTGCTAACGGGGCCTTTTCATCCCATTACACAGATGGGGCAATAAAGGCTCAGGGGAGGTTACACTTGCCCAAGTGTTTTGCATTTGAAGATGGGCAGATCTGGTTTCCATTGTCTGGATCCTACGTGTGAGTGTTACTAATCTCTGGACTTCCTGTTCAGTGCACAGACCCCGGAACCGTGGGCATGTAGCGAAACAACTGCATGGGATTGCAAGGGGTGGGACGCTAGAACACGGGAAGGTACGGACTTGTCCCCACCGCAATAGGTAAAAACACATGCCCAGTTCCTCAGCCCACCCTGGGGTACAGTTCGGAGGGATTTTTTCCCTTTGTCACACTCTCCCTCCTGCTTCAGGGCCTATTGCAGGACTGTTCCCCCCCTTTTCAGCTGAGCCCCACCGCCCAGGAGGCCCTTTTCCCCAGCAGGTCCCCACTGCCTCCCCTCCCAGGAGACTCTGGTAGCCTCTCCCAGAGACCTCCCTGCTATTCCTTCCATACTGACAGCCCGGCTCCTTATAGGGCACACCTGTGCCTTCCTAGCTGCACCTGATTAGTGATCAGGGCTGGCTGACCCCAGGCTGCTGGCCCTGTAGCACTCATAAGGGACCGTCAGGGTTATCATTACCTGCCCCCTGTATCTTTAAGGGTTTGGAGCTCTGCTAAAGAAGTAAAAAGGAACACTGTGGGTCTCGGAGGGGGTGGTTGTGCTCTGGTCAAGCTGAGCTGGGGTGCGGGGTCTGCAGGCTGCCTTTGTTTCTGAATATTACATTCACTACAATTCCTGTGGCTGGGCGCATGTGGGAAGGATTTTACCTTGAATCCAGTCTAGCTGGTTACGTTTAGTTACTAGAAAGTGTTTTAGCTTCATGTCTCTTGTAACCATTTCTGACTTTAATGCTGTATACTTGTGTTCACTTCAAATCTATCTCCTGGTAGTTAAATACGCTTTTATTTTTTAACCAAAACGAATCCAGTGTTGTGTAACTGTAGTGTTCGGTGACTCCGGTTAAAGTACCAGACTCTGGTACATTGACCCTCTTACAGGAGCAACAGACCCTAATCCCTGAGCTGCCCAGGAGAGGGCTGGACTTTCTTATGTTCTTATAAGCTAGGAGTGGATGACAGGGCATGGATCACGTGATGATTGCCCTGTTCTAGTCATTGCCTTTGAGGAGTGGGGCATTGGCTGCTGTCAGAAGACAGGATACTGGGCTAGATGGACCAATATGGCCGTTCTTACGGATGGTGCAGAACACACATTTTGGAGAAGATTTAGGTCTGGGAGTGTGTTGGGGTCACCCTGCAGGTGGTAACCAAGGCTCCTGGAAGCCAGAGCATGGCCGTTGTGTTGCTGACAGGCTGCTGGGGTCAGAGCTGCTGGATCAGGCCTGTAGCTAGACACAGACACGCAGGGTGTGACCTGCACGCCAGCAGGCCGTTTGTGAGTGGCCCAGGTTGGGAGTTACAGCAGCAAAGCATTGGGAGGCACCCAAGGTTGCAGGGCAGGTGCTGACACAGCCTCTCCCTGGTCTGGATTGTATCCTGGAATGTGACGCCCACCTCAGCCTCTCTCCTGGAATCTCCCCTCGGATGTCTCAGCCTCTTAAGATGAACTTGACCAAACCCAAACTTCCTTTTTGTCCTTTTCTCTATATCTGTGGGCAATCCCACTGTTCCCTGCCAGTGAGACCTACAACCCGGGGGTGTTTCTGACCCCCCCTCCTGCTCCTTTATCCCACACATCCAGCCCATTCCAAATCCTGCCACCACTTCCTCCTCAGCATCTCAATCTCTCCTCTCTCTCCCAAACACACACGCATCGCCCCTTCCACCCCACTAACCTCTTCTTCCTTGCCCAGCGGTCTGCTCATGTTACTTCCTAGTTACAATGCTCCCATTGGCTGCCCATCAAATACCAGTTTGTATTTCAGCTCCTTGTCGCTGCCCTCAAAGCGCAATGTCACTCTGACCCTCCTACATAGCCTCACGTGTCAAGCGTTGCGTGTTGTCCCCTCCACTTTGCCAGTCCCCTCTTTGTAAGATTCTCATACAGTCGCCTACACAGCCCCGTTGCTCATCCCTGTCCCCATTTAAGTCCCTCTTAATATTCCCTTCGCTGCACTGCCTGTGGTGAATCAAGGTGATTGTAGATAACTGCCTATTGCTGAGGTCCTTCCCGGAGCCCTGGCTGCTTGATTGGGAGTTGTTCAGCACATGGGCTGTCCTTAGGTTCTCAGAAGGGCCTAGTACACCGCGGGCACGATCACAACTACCTACTACTACTAATCTGCCTAAATGTGACTTGTATGTTTGTTTAATTAATATTAGCTTAGATGTTAGTGATTTTTAGACATTGGGGCAGATTCACTTCTGTACATATTGTGTGTGAAAAGATGGACATTGCAAGGGGCTGTAACGTAGCACAAACACAGGCAACTTAGCAGGTGGTGTAACAATGACTTGGGACACTTAATGAATGAGTTTATTTTTCTCATTTACAGGTGTTCCAACCCATCCCATTTAGTCCACTGGGATTTGACCTGGTGTATTGGCCCTGGAATTCCAGCTTTCAACCCTATCCTGCTGTCATTGTGGTCACCAGCATGTACACATGCCATGCTGAGGTAAGGGGTGTGTAGGGCATTTCCATAGTTCCATGATGGATTCCCTGGGTCATTTATTACCCCCTTTGCTTGTGGAGACACATGGAACGGTTGGGGTTTGTTTTATTAAACGTGGGCCCAATGAGCTCTTGAAACACCAGCCCTTGGAACAGCAGGGTCCACTAGACTCCCTAGACTACATGCCTAACTCCTGCTCTGTGTCTGCCAAAAATTCTCTTCTGAATGCGTCTTGGAAAGAAAATAGTGACTGTGCTGTTCACCTTGGGGTTTCCTTAGTGTATAAGGTTGAGAATAGCTTCCCAGGTCATCTCGATTCTCATGGCCTTCATTAATGTGGCACAAACAGGGCTTTTCCCACAGGCAAAGGCCACATTTTAATCATTTTGATGAAGGCTGAGTTTATGTACTATGGTTCTCGAGGCTCTTTCACCAAGATGGCTCTTTTCATCAGTATGTTGTTTTAAGCATCTTACTCTTTGGTAGAGGCTGGTGGGACGTATAAGGACAGAGGCATTGTCACCCGCTTTATAATGAACAAATTCTGGTGCAGATTTACGGCCAGAGTTTTAAAAATGCTCGGCACTTGATGGCTCCCACTGGGACATTCCACGTTCCTGTTCTCAGTGGGAGCTGCTGGGCACTTTTGAAAATCTGGCCCTTAGAGCCAGATTTTTAATGATATTTATATGCCTAAAGATGCAAGTAGACACCTAGTGATATGTTTCAAAATCGCCTGATGCCTAATCCCGTTGCAACCAAGGGGAGTTAGGCACCTAGGGCTAGCTACACAAGGGATTTAAGCAACTACATCCAACATTTAGATACTCAGAACCTTTGTTGTGCTGCCACCTAACCCTGCATGTCTGTCGGTGGGCATATGCAAAGCCATCTAAGTCAACCTTCTAGGTGCCTATCTCACACCTAAGCCCCATGGGATTCATGAATTTGGCAATTCCCCCGCCTATCTTGCCTGCAGGGGCCCACTCCAGTAAGTGTGCTCATAGGTGCTCACAAAGGGCATCTACTGGATCAGGTCCCACACCATGTGGTGGTGCTGCCCCCTCTTTTCAGCCAATAGCTCCCTGGTGAGGGCACTCACCTGGGAGGTGGGAGACCCTCCTCTACCTGACCTGGTGCAGGGACTTGAACCTAGATCTCTTGCGTCACCCATGACTTCCCTATCCACTGGGCTAGCAGGTATTCTAGGGTGCAGCTCTCTCAAGCTCTCCTGTTGATGATGGTCCACTTTGTAGAAGTACTGAAATAGTCACTGGAGTAGGGACTTGAACCAGGTCACCCCCCTTAGAGATGATGCCCTAACCATTAGGCTAGAAAATCATTCACATGCTTTCTCTGACCCAATGAATGTTTAGGCACCTAAATACCTTTAACAGTCTGTCCCTTAGTGTCTGCTGTTTGTGTTTTTCATGCGTAACTCAGTGGGAAATCACGCCTTTTGAAAACCTCCAGTGAAGGAGTGTCCACGCGAGGCAGTCTGTTCCTTTGTCCCATTGTCCGTATAGTTAGGAAGTTTTTCCTGAGATTTAATCTAAATCTGCTCTGCTGTAGTTTGAACCCACTGCCTCTTGTCCTGCCCCCGTGGCAAGAGCGAACAACTTTTCTCCATCTTTTTTATGGCAGCCTCTCAAATATTTGAAGACCGCTATCATGTCCCCCTTTAATCTCCTCTTTTCCAAACTAAACATACCCAGTTCCGTCAGTCTTTGCTCGTATGGCTGCATTCCATCCCTCTGATCATCTTTGCTGCTCGCCTCTGGGTCCTTTCCAGTTGTTCTACATCCTTTCTATACATTGGTGACCAAAATTGGACACACTACTCCAGCTGAGGCCTAACCAGCGCCAAATAGAGCGGTGCTATCACCTCCCGTGGCTTGCACGCTGTGCCTCTGTTATTGCAACCCAAAATTGCTTCTGCTTTTTTTGCAACAGCATCACACTGTTAACTCATGTTGAGGTTGTGATCCACCACGACTCCCAGATCCTTCTCGGCAGGGCTGCTGCCAAGCCAGGTATCCCTCATGCTGTATTTGTGCATTTGGTTTTTCATCCCTAAGTGTAGCGGTTTATATTTGTCTTTGTTGAATTTCATTTTGTTATCTACAGCCCGGTTCTTCAGTTTATCAAGATCCCTTTGAGTTTTAGCTCCGTCCTCCAAAGTGTTTGCAACCCTCCACCCCCCCAGCTTTGTGTCATCTGCAAATTTGATGGGGAAGCTCGCTATTCCTACACTCAGGTCATTAAGAAAGATGATAAATCACACTGGACCCAGAACAGATCTCTGTGGAACCCCACTCTAGACCTACTTTCAAGCTGACATCATCCCATTAATAGTTACCTGTTGTTTGTGGTTGTTTAACCTATTATATATCCACTTAATGGCAGTTCTGTCGAATCCACATTTCTCCGGCTTACTTGTCAGAATGTCATGTGGGACTGTGTTCAAAGCCTTGCTCAAGTATATGTATATTATGTCCACCATAATATTCCCACATCCCCAAACCAGCTACCCTGTCAAAGAAGGAAATCAAGCTGATTTGGCATTATTTGTTCTTAGTAAATCCATGCTCGCTGCTAGTGTTCACCCCCTTCATCCTCCAGCTATTTCCAAATTGAATGTTTTATACATTGCTCTGGTAGCTTCCCAGGTATCAAGGTCAGGCTGACTGGTCTGTAGTTCTCCGGCTCCTCCTTTCCCCCCTTTTTAAAGATGGGCACTACATTAGCCTTTCTCCAGTCTTCTAGAACCTTTCCTGTCATCCATGAATTTGCAAATATTAATACCAATGGGGCCGAGATTTCTTCAACTAATTCCTTCAGCATCCTGGAGTGAATAGCATCAGGCCATTCAGATCAGTCAGAAGATCTCTGATGTGTTCTTTACTTATCCTGATCTGCCTCCCTTCCCCTTTATTGTCTCTGGTAACTTCTCTAGTCATCTGGTCGCATGTTATTTTTTGTGAGAAGACTGAAGCAAAGTAGTCATTGAGTAGCTCTGCCTTCTTATCATCTTCCATTCCCAGCTCACCTCCTCCATGAGCAGTGGACCCACACCATCCCTGATCTTCCTTTTTTGTCTGACATATTTGAAGAACCCCTTCTTGTCATTAACGTTCCTTGCCAGCTGTAACTCATTCTTTGCCTGGTCTTTCCTGATTTTGTCCCTACACACTCATGCTATTCCCATGTCTACTTCCTTGATGACATGCTCTGTTTCCTCTCTAAAAGTGCAAAAGGGACCATCGTGAGCACCTGGTTTGACCTCTTGCATAGCACCATCCAGAAGAGAGTGGGCCAGGCTGGGAGGCCTCTGCATATACAGTCCAAAATCACCCCCCATGTTCGCCCCCCAAATGCTGAAAAACATGAATGCTACTTGCTGCTGACTAGAACTGGTCTGTAATGATCTTAGGTTGGTTGCCTGACAACAATGCTGAGTTATCGAAAATAATGGTTTGCCATGTTTAACAATCACGTACAGTGCTCAGATCTTGTCATTCATTTTCGGATATCAGGGCCTTGTAATATTCATTCTAGAGCCAGTGTGCCAATGTAGTGAAGCCCGTCAGAGCTTCTTGCAGGACTGGGACCCCAGCCACATGTGAGGTTCCCAGGTGCGCGTGGATTGGTCACCCTGCCATAAGCAAAACAGCACCCCAGGCTGTGGTATAAGTTATAATAATCATTGTTTTATTTTTTAAAAATTACAATAGAAAAGTACCTTTAAACATATTTCAAAAAAGCAGAGTAGACAACGTGGATGTTTCTTTCCTCCATTACCCAAAACAAATACAGAAAATCAGCTTTGTAAAGAACTAGTCTATTGGTTAGAATACTTATACACGTCTGTTTAGATTTATTTAAACATTTGTCTTAGAATTTAATCTGTTCTCAAGTTATCCTTGTCGCTTTGTTTAATCAAAAGTAGAATTTCTGTTTTTCTGTCTTATGCTTTCAGCTATCGTGGTCTTGGGACTGAAGAATTCTCAACATCTGCATTTCCACAAAGAACAATTGTGTTGTCGTCCTAAAAACACTGACATCACTACGTGTTCAGCACAAGGTGAACAAAACTACGGGGAAACCTGTGAGCACACGTTCACCACACTTGCCAACAATCAGGTCCTTCTTGAACCAATCAGTGCAGGCTGCGGAACAGCATTGCTTACGGGTGAGTGGGTGGAGAGAGAGTTGCCTTTAGGGGTAAGGAGTTGTCAATCCTTTTACAAGAAAACAGACTCATTTTTATATTCTATTCCTATGCAGAGTGAAAAGCAATGGGGAAAAGGAATGTACTGGTAAAATGAGCTTCTTGTCGCTGGTACCGTATTCTCAGTAGACATTACCAATATTGCTTCAAGACAATGACTGGAGTAAAGAACAGGGTTTAGCAGAAAATGTCAACGCCTCCCTTTTTGGCTTCACTTTTGCATTGAAAATACCAGTATATTGCATAACAAGGAGCTGGACTGGCATAAACTGTTCATTAAGGCCCTAATTCAACAAAGCACTTAAGTGTAGCTGTAAGCATGTGTTTAAGTCCCATTAACTTCAACTAGACTTAAGCATGGTCTTGAGTGTGTTGCTGAATTGGGGTCAACTTTTTCTCATCACAGCAGTTTACATTGCCAATAAAAATTTCAAGCCATTACCGGAACCAGCCCTTCCTGCCCCTGGAAAGATACCATGTGACCCAGCAAATGTAACTGTCCCTGAAGTAAGCACAAGGAGAGCCCTCATTAATAAGTCTCCACTTGCTCCATGCATGGCTTTTCGCTGCACAGCTCTCTGCTAGCCTAAAGCCTCACCCTGCAAAATGTAACTGTAGCCCTAAGGTAGAAAAATTATACTAAGTTGTTTTCTGATTGTCCTGCCTGATAGGATATGGTACACTGGGGAATAAAACCCTAATACTGTAAATATACCCAGATCTGTAGTTCAGCACATTTTAACTCCGCCCAGCCTAAGCACAATGCCTATAAACCTAACAATACAATTATTTAATTCTGAACAAGATTTAAAAACATGTCTTGAATGCATGCAGCTTACAAAAAGAAAAAAAAAGAGAGACTCTTAATTGCACGCATTCAAAAGTCAAGCACAAAACTTGTGATCTAACCCGGTGTAAGATCATTATACGCACAATGTTTGGTATAAAAATACTTGCTCTCTTTTGGCTTTGATAGTTGGCTTTTTTGTTTGAAAATACTTTTCAAACTATACAGCAATGACTGTCCGACTGTGCTTTCACGAGTAACACTCTTCCTTACAATAATACAGTGTAAAAAAGGAAAACATCATTATTTTGTCTGCTTTTTTCTTCTACGAGAGCAGATGTGTGATAGAGGCTGTGGCAAAGTCTTGAAGGAATCAAAACTTGTGTGAGGTTTTTCAAGCCTGCAACAATGGAGAGAAACATGTGTTAGAACAGCATTTGAGATCTTGGAATGGAGGAGATTAAAAGTAACTGGATTTGAAGGATGCTTTAGATGCATTCGCATGCAGTAGTATGTGCCTGGAGAGTTGTCATACACATCTAATGAATGAGTTCTCTGGGCACCTGCAACAGGGAGAATTTATTTTTAAATAAGACATGGGTGTATGTGTGTATGTACGTACAGCGGATAGAAGGCTGTTGGAGAGGGAAATTATTACCACATAATAGACATATAGATTTTAAGGCCAGAAGGGACCATCAGAACAATATAGTGGCCACATGGGGTCAGACCAATGGTCCACCTAGCCCAGTATCCTGTCTTCTGATAGTGGCCAGATGCTTCTGAGGGAATGAACAAAACAGGGCAATTACTGAGTGATCCATCCCCTGCCATCCAGAGCATGGGGTTGTGCCCCACACCATCTTATGGACCGATCCTCCATGAATTTATGTAATTCTTTTTTTAACCCAGTTATACTTTTGGCTTTCACAACATCCCTTGGCAATGAGTTCCACAGGTTGGCTGTGCATTGTGTGAAGAAGTACTTCCTTTTGTTTGTTTTAAACTAGCTGTCTATTAAATTCTTTGGGTGGCCCCTGGTTCTTGTCCCTTTCCTAATGGTTCCTCACATTATGTTCGCTTTTTTGACTGCTGCTGCAAATTGAGCCGATATTTTCAGAGAACTATCCACAGTGACTCCAAGATCTCTTTCTTGAGTGGTAACAGCTAGTTTAGACCCCAGCATTCTGTATGTATAGTTGGGATTATACTTTCCAACGTGCATTACTTTGCAGTTATCCACATTGCATTTCATCTGCCATTTTGTTGCCCAGTCACCCAGTTTTGTGAGCTGTTTTTGTAACTGTTCGCAGTCTGCTTTGGACTTAAATATCTTGAGTTGTTTTATATCATCTGCAAATTTTGACACCTCATTGTTAACCCCCTTTTCCAGATCATTTATGAGTATGATGAACAGCACAGGTCCCAGTACAGATTCTTTTGGGATCCCACTATTTACCCCTCTCCACAGTGAGAACTGACCATTTCTTCCTACCCTTTGTTTCCTGTCTTTTAACCAGTTACTGATCCATGAGAGGACCTTCCCTCTTATCCCATGACTCCTTATTTTGCTTAAGAGCCTTTGGTGAGGGCCCTTGGCAAAGGCTCTCTGAAAGTCCAAGTTCAATATATCCATTGGATCCCCCTTGTCCACATGCTTCCTGATCCCCTCAAAGAATTCTAATACATTGGTGCGTTACGATTTCCCTTTACAAAAGCTGTATTGACTCTTCCCAACAAATCATGTTCATCTATGTGTTTGATAAGTCTGTTCTTTACTATAATTTCAACCACTTTGCCAGGTACTGAAGTTAGGCTTACCAGACTATTATTGCCAGGATCTTCTCTGGAGCCTTTTTTAAAAACTGGCGTTAGATTAGCTCCCCTCCAGTCATCTGGTACAGAGGCAGATTTAAGCGATAGGTTACAATCTCATATTGGTGTTCCTTCAGAACTCTTGGGTGAATGACATCTGGGGCTGGTGACTTATTACTGTTTAATGTATTGATTTGTTCCAAAACCTCCTTTACTGACACCTCAGTCTGGGACAGTTTCTCAGATTTGTCACCTAAACAGAATGGTTCAGGTGTGGGAATCTCCTTCACATCCTCTGCAGTATTCATTTAGCTTCTTCGCAATGGACTTGTCTTCCTTGAGTGCTTCTTTAGCACCTTGATTGTCCAGTGGTCCCTACTAATTGTTTGGCAGGCTTCCTGCTTCTCGTGGGCTTTAAAAAAAAATTGCTGATAGTTTTTGTGTCTTTTGCTAGTTGCTCTTCAAATTCTTTTGTGCCCTGCCTAATTGTACTTTTACACATGACTTACCAGAGTTTATGTTCCTTGCTATTTTTCTCTATTTTCTCGCCTTTCTATTTTCCAGGATGCCTTTTTGCCTCTAACTGCCTCTTTTAGTCTATTGTTTAGCCAGGGTGGCGTTTTTTTTGGTCCTCTCACTGTTTTTTTTATTTGGGGTATACATTTAGCTTGTGCCGCTATTATGGTATTTTTAAAGAGTTTCCATGCAGGTTGCAGGCAGTTCACTCTTGTGACTGTTCCTTTCAATTTCCATTTAACCAGCTTCCTCATTTTCGTGTCGTTCCCCTTTTTGAAGTTAAATGCTGCTGTAGTGGGCTTCTTTGGTATTTTCGCTCCCACAAGGATGTTAAACTTAATTACATTATGGTTACTAATAACACGCGGTTCAGCCATAGTCACCTCTTGGACCAGCTCCTGTGCGCCACTTAGGACTAAATCAAGCACTGCCTCTCCTCCCCTTTTGGGTTCCAAGACCAGCTGCTCCAAGACACGGTCATTACTGGTGTCTAGAAATTTTATTTGTGCATCCCGTCCTGCAGTGCCGCATGCCCACTCAATATGGGGATCATTGAAATCACCCAGCGTTACTGAGTTTTCTATTTTTTTAGCCTCTCTAATCTCCCTGATCATTTCAGATTCCATCACCATCCTGGTCAGGTAGTTGGTAGTATATTCCTCCTGCTGTATTCTTATGATTCAAACAGGGAATTTGTATCCATAGAGATTCCTTGGTACAGTTTAATCCATTTAAGCTATTTACTATATTTGACACTCTTTCTTTCTTTCCCATATAGTACAACTCCCCCACCATACACATCGCTGTGTATTTTGTACCCTGGTATTAACATATCCCATTGATTATCCTCATTCCACCATGTTTCTGTGATGCCTATTATAATAATATTCGCATTTAGTACCAGGCAGTCAAGTTCACCTATCTTAGTATATAGACTTCTAGCATGTATATAGGTTTCAGAGTAGCAGCCGTGTTAGTCTGTATCCGCAAACAGAAGAACAGGAGTACTTGTGGCACCTTAGAGACTAACAAATTATTTTAAGTACTCCTGTTCTTCTTTTAGCATGTATATAGAAGCACTTATAAAATTTGTCACTATTTAGTTGTCATGTGATGTAATTGAATAGGATTCTTTTTCAAATGACTGTTTCTTTTCAGCGGCTTCTGGGACTTTATCAACTTCTGTCCTCTCTGCTTCACTAGGCTATAGAGAACCCCCGTTAACAGATCCTCCCCTAAGGGATCTTTCTTTCTGAACCTTGTGCTCCTCTCCACCTGTTGGCTTTCCCCCAGCCCCTAGTTTAAAAAGTCACGGACCACCTTTGTAATTTTGCATGCCAGCCGTCTGGTTCTATTTTGGTTTAGGTGGCGCCCATCCTTCCTGTACAGCTGCAAAGTGCTTTGCATGGCGGGCAGGTGACTGTCCAGCTATGCACCCAGCATGTGGGCTAATGAATGTATTCTTCTCTATGTGCCCCTGCTACTGCATCTGTGCCATTTGCCACATAGACACAGGAGCATGGTGAAGTGCCAGTCCCAGGATTCACTGCGCTGGACACTGCATCCTCACTGCAGGTCTGAGACCATAATTCTCTCACGTGATGACTGTAAGCACCACTGCAGCTTAGGGGTGAAGAAGCTGACCCCGCTCCTTGGCTGCCAGGAGGGTTTCATCCTGTGTGGTTAGACGATTGCCTCTAACTTACCAGCACACTGTAGTTTTGCAGGAGGGCATGAGAAACCAGTAGCCACCTTCAAAGGCTCCATTAATACCCACAAGACTGATTGTAGCCACCATCACACACCTGATACCTGTGACAGAAAAAAGACAGGCACAGTCAGAAACTCCACAGGAACCGTGTATGTTTCTGAATTGACCCGGGGGTCTAGAAATCCAAGCGGAGGGGCACCAAATAACAAAGAACTTCATGCCATTCATGCGACACTGACTGTGTCCAAGTTGTCAACAATGGAGGTGATCACATCCGTTTCAGAGGAGCAAGGGGCTGGACGCACAGCCCCAGGAAAGGGTGAAGCCGCTGGAAGTGGCCTCATGCCTTCACGGGTGACCTGGGAGGCTGCTGTGGTAGCAATGTCAGGAGTTTGGCCTCATATCCTGCTGAAGAGGTTTGTGGGGGACAGGCTGTGCGTGAAAGTAGCTAGAACTACCATTCTCTTTGTTGTTTGTGCAGTTACAGCTGAATTAATTTTACGCTTCATAAACGCACTGTTCAGTTCCTAACTCTCCACTGGACTTCCTTAACTGGTGGCTTAAACACAGCAAACGTCTGCACTGGGCTTGCCAATCCCAACACCCTGACCCCAGGAGCAAATGATCTCATACTAGATGTTCAACATACTAGACCGGTAACTAAGACGAGTCACTGGGCAGAACAAATCAAACCCAGCAGTGAGCCCAGCTGCCACAGATCCCTGCCCAGAACTGTCGCGGTCCCAGGACCTTGCTACAGTGACGTGCAAAGCTCAGGCAGCCACTCCCCAGAAATAGGCAGTAACCACACAATTGAGGTGCAAATCAGGAGGCACCTGGCACAGTCTGAGCCAGCGAAGAGCGACAGTGACCCTGTGTGCCTGGGACACATCCCACTGCCCTGTTCCCACTAGGAAGGAGTGCCAGAGAGACAAGTGGAACGCCCCAAGTCGCTGCTACGGCAGTGCAGCAAGACGCATGAGACAGACTGCACTAGGCGTGAAGAGCCCTGCCTCTCGACTGGGCAGTCCGAACATTTCCTGCCATTGCTCACTCTGAACCGTAAGTGTCGCCTCTTTACCTAGGGCATCTGCAGCCTTCCCCTTTTCTGCCAGCCCTAATAAATACCCTCTCCCGTAGCCATGTGAGTGGTTAGTGCGATCCACCAGGGCTGGCGCCTACAAGGCCTAGCTGCCGAAGCACCTACAATGCTTGTCTCTGAGTCGTAGTACACCCAGCATGCTACTGGCACCATAGGGGTTTGGTGTGCCTGGCCCTGAGCACCCCAATAATGACAGCATGATTGAGCCCTTAATGAATTAGACGGG